TGAGCCGGCTCCGAGCCCGCAGCAGCCGTCGCAGGGCGGAGTGACTTCTCCTTACTCCGAACGGAGATCAGAACTACACAGCAGGGACTGGAGAATTGGCTCTGGTGATACCGTGTTCACTCCCTTCGCCCACCCCCATCCACCCCCGTGGGGAGGAGAACAGTGAACTGCCAGCCTGGACTGGGGAGGGACCGTTCGCACCCTGAGACGGGGGGGGATGGCAAATAATGTAACCGCAGAGATTTTTCTTGACATTCCTGACAGCAAAATAAAAACAAAAATGAAATGGGCTCCCCCGTGACTTTATCGCCCCTGCTCCTGCCACCAGCGAGATGGTTCCATCCAGAGCAGAGCAAGGCACTAAACTCCCAGCTCGTGGGACGAACCATTTCCCTTTGGGAGGAGGAGCTCATGCAGCATAAAATGCCAAAGGTTCAAAACTGACCTGTTTAATTTTTTTCCTCTATATATTTAAATCCAGATGCTTTAAAAGTTTTCTCTTCTCTTTAGTGACAGGGGGAGTATTTACCAAATCAATAGGTTTGAGGATTTTAGTAGGGATCCCTCCCCCCCTTCCAGCTGAGAATGGGCCCTGCCAAAGTGGCAGTTATGGCAGTTGGACTGACCCTTCCCCCACCCCAACTGCCCGCCTCAGATGCCAAATGGGCTCAGAAGCCATGGTGAGGCCTGGCCTGGGGGGACTTTAATCCCTTCAATCCATGGCAGGGTAGAGGTTAATTGGGTCTGTCTGTCCTGTCTCCACTGGGGAAGTTGGGGGTGATTCTGGAACAAGTTAAGGACTGAGGAGGGGGAATCCTCCATTGACAGGGGAAAGCCCAGGCCGGTCAGGGCTGCTGATCCCCCTCGCCCTCTGAGGGGGCAGTTGGGGGTGGGAAAGGGAGGCTGGCCAACTGCCATAACTGCCACTTTGGAAGGTCCCACTCTCCCAGGTGGCAGGGGGTTATCCTTACACAATCCCAAAATCTGTCACGGTGGTAAAAATCCCCCTTTGCCAAGGGGAACAGGGAAAATGAAAAGGATCCGATTGTTCAGAAACCCCAAACCAACATTAAACAGGTGAAATTTCAGCCTTTGCCATTTAATCCCCCTGTGACGTTGCACTCCATATGCTTTCTGAAAATATGCTTATGAATTGAATATGACATAACTGGAATATGCTTTATGCTAAATATGCCATGTAACATATCTCTGCAAAGGTTATGATCTACTGAATGCATTCATCCTATTTGTATGCATGTATCATTTTTATATCTGAAGTTATGAGCATTGGCTCTATTCTTGTATTTTAAGTGTTTGCTGTGGGAAACACATAAAGGAGTTTTGGTCAACCTATTGTGAAGGGACTATTCAAGTAATTGGAAGTACTTGACTGACAATGGATTTAGGGAGATGCCAATCCACATCTGCTGAGCTAACATGTATACAATGGTGCTGGCCTGCAAAAAGTTGAATCATTCATGGACATGTGACTTGCCCAGGTGGCTACAAACTCCATCTTGCTGCCATGATTTTGCACAGAAGAACAAAGGGGTTTCCACCCACAAGAGAGAGAATATTAAAAGGCCCTGGAAGCCCCTCCATTTTGTCTTCAGCTGGCTCAAGAGGCTGCCAGTTAGGAGAACACCCCTGTTTATCACCTGAGATGTAAGCTGAAACTAACAAGGTCTGTACCAGGAGAAAGGATTGGGCCCAGGCTAAGAAGGAGTCTAGTCTGTAAAAGAAGCTTATTGGAACATCTTTGGGGGGGGGGGGTGGGATGGAGCCCCACCCCCTGAGAAAAGGGCTGAACCAGGCCAGAGAGGCTGCGCGAACCAGCAGACAATCAGTGAAGGCCTGGGGAGAGCCAATCAGGGAGGGAGAAGGGGCAGCCAATCAGGACCAGGCAAGGTCCTATATAAAGGCTGCCCAGCTAGGGCACAGGGTAGTCTCTCCCTGACTGATAAGGGAGGAGGACTGTCTCCTGAGTGGAAAGGTAGCACCTTGGACAGAGCAGTGCTGGGGAAGGGTAGAAGGTGCTGGGGAGCTCCGGCCAAAGAAAACCCTAGGCTGCAGGCCTTGCTACAAAGGGCTGAGCAGGTGCATGGGGCCAAAGGGGAAGCGGCCCAGGGACAATAGTTTGACATGGGGAGAGAAGGAGGGCAGAGAGGCTGCTGCTAGAGGGCCCCTGGGTTGGGACCCAGAGTAGGGGTGGGCCTGGGTTCCCACCTTGTACTACACCTGGCTGAGGAGGAGCGTGGCCTGATACAGGCTGTGGCTGGACCCTGCGACAAAGGGGATAGACTTTGAGGCTGCAGTCAGCCACTAGAGCTGGTGTAGATCGAAGACTGCTGATAACACCAAACCCCCGGAAGGGGGTGAGACCAGAGCAGTGGGCATTGCCGGAGGGCAGTGTCCTGAAGAGGACACTGCCAAGTGGGGAGCAACGTGGGTCCCCAAAGCAGCAGAGCAGACAAAGGGCAAGGCACCATGTGCAAAAAGTGCTCCATGATGAGACTGAGCTAATTCCCTGACGTTCCAGGGGGCGGCACTGTGGTGGTGAGTCCCAATCCTGTCACAGGGTAAGATATTACCTGTAATCTGTTTCTTAATGTATTGGGCTTAGACTTATGTGTTATGTTTAATTTTGTTTAATCAGTGTTATAGAGGGCGAACAATTTGAGTTTACCCTGTATAAGCTTTATACAGACTAAAATGGATTTATTTAGGGGTTGGATCCCATTGGGAGCTGGGTATCTGGGGACAGGTAACTTGCTGGGCTGTTCTTAGTGAAGCCTGCAGCTTTGGGAGCCCAGCCCAGACCCTGGGTCTGTGTTGGGCAGGCTAGCATGTCTGGCTCACAAGACAGGAGTCTGGGGCGCCCAGGCTAGCAGGGAAAATTGACTCCAAGGCAATTCCAGCACATCATTTGACAGTCCCAAGGGGATCTCTGTGACCCAACCCATCACCCCCCTCCCCTCCCATAGTGAAATGGTTCATCCCCTCAGCTGGGAGCTTTTATCCTGAGTCTGGGGATAAGTCTCCAACTCCCTTTCTCCCCCCCTGTGCAGGTGAGAATGGTCCTTCCTCAGCCCAGAGTGGCAGTTGGTAATTAGGGGTGGGGGCGGGGTTGTGCAGTTTGAAAGTAGAGGGTGAATTGCCCAGAGTGGGACAGTCTGGGCCTGTATTGGCTCCATCCCACAATCCAAACCCAAGATGCCCTTTGCCCTTCACTGCGGCATTAACCCCTGGGAGCAGCAGCTGCAAGGGGCGAGAGGGGACGATGGGCTCAGAAGGATCAAACAGCTCCTGAATTTCTAACAGTCCCAGTGAATGTTCCCTGAGGGGCCACAACAGGCTGCACAGGGCTCAGACCCTGAGAGGTCCCTGTTCCCCCCCCCCCATATCCTGTGGGGCAGCCCCTGCTTCAGCCCCTAAGACATCACTGCCACCCTGTATCCTGTGAGGCTCATCACACTCCACAGGGATCTATGAGATCACCCCCATTTCCTTTCCTTGCCATCTTCACCATTTATGGCCACGTAGCCCTACTCCCACTCTGTGGAGTGGCACACCAGATGACAAGCCCGGGGGAGAGGAGCCTGTGACTGCAGATCAGGTTCCTATTAAATTATTCTGTCTGAGGATTACATAAAAAGGACCATAATGATAACCTGAACCTGGAGCCCATCCTGATCACTCAGCAACTGTCATGTGAGCCCAGATACAGATCAGGAGAGTCTGTCTGCGTGGGAAAGTGCCAAAGCTGGTTGAAGGGAGGGATGGGGATGGCACTCAGGGGGTAGGGGTGGTACAAGGGTTCAGGTTGTCTCCACTGCATTGCAGAATTTTCTTTCATTACAAAAGATAAGTTTCTAGCCCTCATGGTAGTAGAGTAAACCTTTAAAACATGAAACAAGTGCACCCTAACAACTCAAACCTAAAGCAAATAAAAACCTCCAACTTTTATATTTTAGAAAAATCTCATAATTGTTTAACATTTGGGGCTGGCACAGTTTCCATAACATGTACTGCAGAGGCAGTTTAGTCAAGCTCAGATTAATTAAACAAGAGAGAGATGCACAATAATTCTTATCCGCTTCGGGATCTGATGGTAAGTGCGTTGAGACGTCAGATAACCAGACTCACTGATTTTATTGATTGGAAATGGTCAGTATAATTGTGACTTTAACCATGGTTCCATCTGGAATATTGAACAGCTGTTATCGAATATGGAGATTCTCAAACCCTTCAATCCAAACACACTGGATTTGATGAAACAATATTACAAGTTAACTGCAAGTTAAAACTACAGAGAATTTTTTAAGTGATTACAAGTAATGAGGGATTGTTCATGGGATTGTTAATAAAAAAAAATTCAGAGAGGCCTGTGACTCGTCCCTGACTTTTATAAAAATATCCATGATAAAAAGGGAAGGGACTGGGCAGCTGTGGAGTGGCTTGGAGCTCTTGGGGCCCCTACTACCAGTGGGGGTTCAGCTCTCCAGGGTCCTCCTGCCACCAGCAGTGGAGAGAAGCTGCAGGGTCCTCCTGCCCCCTCTCCAGCAGTGGGGAGCAGGGAATCCCCCTGCCATCGCTGCAGGGGGGAGCTGTGGGGGTGCACATGCCCCCCAAGTGGGTCAGGAGCTGCAGGGATTCCCCTGTGCCACACAGTGGCCAGAAGCTGCAGGGTACCCCCTGGCCTGCGGCAGCAGCTACAAACTGTGGGATACTCTGCTGCCCATGGTGGCAGAGAGCTTGGGGGCCCACTGACTCAGGCAGTGGGTGTACCTCACAGCTCCCTGCTGCTATGGGAGGCAGTGGGACCCTGCAGCTCCCAGATGCCAGGGCTGAAGTCATGGAGGTCTTTGGAAGTCACGGATTCTTTGAATTTTGCAACTTCTGTGGGGAAAAAAAACATAGCCTTAGTTATAAGAAAATAAAAGGTAAAACACAACTAATAACTATACAAGCTAAATGAATTCAAAGCAGACGTCTCTCACTGCATGCTGTATTAGTTTTATTGGCTGGAATCCTGTCAGCTAGGGACCCTCCCCAAGTGCAGTGTTACTTTCCTGGTCTTTCAGGTGGTGTTGATGCCATGAGCAGAGAGAGGGAGGAAACTTGGGGGCACCTCTTCCTTATAGTTAATTCTCTTCTGCATGAATCATCTCCAACTGAATTTCAGTATCCATCGCCCTTTTCAAGAATGTAACCCTGATGTATACAGGAGACAGAAAAGTCCAGATTCTGCAGACCTTACACACCTTTTATCATCTAATTATGCACACGACTGTTTAGCTGGCGGCAGACCATAGCAGACAAGTAGCATAAAAACCAGATACATGTACACTAACTGTACCTAGCACACAGTTCATATTTGGCAAACCTTGAGAGAATACATCTTGCATCTGACAGATTCTGCATATATTATGAACAAAGGTTAGAGCAATTTAACTACTAGTACATTTGTACAATAAAGCTTAGCATGAGCACAAAGTATTCTGGGAGATTTTAACTAATTCAGTGCTCTAACACCCCCATTTTTTGAATACAGATAATGATTTAAAGCAGATTACAACTGAGCTGAACTGCAGCTGGCATAACCAGCTCCAGCAAGAAAGGCAAGATGGCTGCTTCTCCCCCCACATCATCTCCCGAGAGGGACTGGAACATGGCACAGTCGGCACTGCAGGGCCACACGTACACGCACACACAGAATCTTTCCGACGGCTATTTCTCTTGTATTATTTTATTCCCTCCAGGAATGCTGACACAACCGTGACACAAAGTCCCATCTCCTCATTGCCCTCCGACAGAGAGGCATGGCCACGGACTTCCCCACCTGAGGAACGGGGAGACACTGGCCCGCTACTGTGGCTCAGTTTGACCTGTGAATGTTGCTGGGGCTGGTCTCTCTCTCCTCAAACAATGCTCTCTGAGCTGCCTGTTCCCACGCAGGATCCCACCTCTGTCCCTGTCCCATGACCGCTGGATGTTTCATACCCACGTCACACTCTGGGCTGGGATTGCAACTCCACAAGTTGTTCACAGAAAACACAGACAGCAAGCTGAGTCTCAGCCTGCAAAGGGGAGCAAAGTTGCCCAGAGATTTTTCCTGCACTCCTTGCCACTTTGTGTCAAGGCTGAGATCCAGGTACATCTCAGTGTTAGGGGTAATCTACATTAGAAGTGCTATAGCTCCCACTAGTGCTCAAGACCCCAAGCTAGAATTCAAGATGCTCAAGCCAATGGGAAAGAGCTCACCTGTGGCTGGGAACGGTGGGGTACCCCTGTTGCCCATGGCAGCGGAGAGCTTGGGGGGCTACTGACTCAGGCGGAGGGGGTACCTCACAGCTCCCTGCCACTATGGCAGGCAGTGGGACCCTTCAAATGCCAGGGTTGAAGTCACGGAGATCTTTGGAAGTCACGGATCCCGTGACTTCCACAACCTCTGTGACAAAACCGTAGCCGTAGCTATAAGAAAATAAAAGGTAAAACACAACTAATAACTAACATATCTAGCTAAATGGATTCAAGCAGAAGTCTCTCACCACACGCTGTATTAGTTTTATTGGCAGGAATCCCTTCAGTTAGGGACCCTCCCCAAGTGAGGTGTTACTTTCTTTGTCTTTCAGGTGTCATTGATGCCATGAGCAGAGAGAAAGAGAAGACTATTTGGGGGCACCTCTTCCCCTTTCTTATAGTTCATTCTCTTGTGAAAGAATCATCCCCTGCTGAGTTTTTAGGACACACAAGATTTGTCTGGACAGGAACCTTAAGCTGTTCCTTTGTTACAATGCAGATTTATCAATCTTAAAGCAGATTACAATTGAGCTGAACTGCAGCTGGCATAACCAGCTCCAGAAAGAAAGGCAAGATGGCTGCTTCTCCCCAATATCATCTCCCAAGAGTGACTGGAACATGGCAAAGTCAGCAGTGCAGGGAAGATTGTAGGTCTTCGCTTACACACATGGGAGGCAGCCATTTCAGACTCATAATTCTATTATTATTTTATTCCCTCCAGGAATGATGACACAGCAGTGACACAAAGTCCCATCTCATCATCGCCCCCCGACAGAGAGGCATGGCCACAGATTTCCCCACTTGAGGAATGGGGAGACACTGGCCCAGTACTGCTGCTCAGTTTGATCTGTGGATGTTGCTGGGACTGATTTCTCTCCCTCTCTATTTAGGAGTCCCTCTCTTTCTCCTCAAACAGTGCTGTCTGGGCTGCCTGTTCCCACGCAGGATCCCATCTCTGTTCCTGCCCCATGACCCCTGGCTATTTCATACCCTGTCACACTCTGGACTGGGACTGCAACTCCACAAGTTGTTTATAGAAAACACCTACAACAAGTGCCAAACCTGAGTCCCAGCCTGCAAAGTGAAGCAAAGTTGCCCACAGAGTTTCCTGCATTCCTGGCCACTTGGTGTCAAGGCTGAGCTCCAGGTACATCTCAGTGTTAGGACTAATCTACACTAGAAGTGCTACATCTCCCAATAGTGTTCAAGACACCAAGCTAGCATTCAAGATGCTCAAAGCCGATGGGGGAGAGAGAGCTCACCTGTCAGCATAACATCTGAGACAAAGGGAGAGGCGAAAGCTCTCCCACCAACATAGCTCAGTCTACACCAGAGCTTAGGTTGGTATATTTTACATCTCTCAGGGATGTGGATGAGTGTTTTGGTAAGTGATAAAGTCTAGTGTAGACAAGCCCTGGGTGGCACTAAAGTGCCACATAAGCGTCCAGGGATACAAATTCGAATTATAAAAAAAAAAAAGGCATAACAGGAAGTAACTGACATCTCTCATCCCTGCTGTGATAAATGAAGGGGGTGGGGAGTAGCTCCATTTTATGGACACCCGCCCAGCCAGTTAGCTATAAAGTCCCTCTTGGTGGCTGTTCTCTGCTTGCTTTACCTGCAAAGGGTTAACAAAGTCCCCCAGGAAAAGGAAAGGGAGTGGGCATATGACCAAAAGAGCCAATGGGAAGGCTATAACTTAAACTCATAGATATTAAGATCAGAAGGGACCATTATGATCATCTAGTCTGACCTCCTGCACAATGCAGGCCACAGAATCCCACCCAGGCACGCACTCCTGCAATAAACCCCTCACCTATGTCTGAGCTATTGAAGTTCTCAAATCATGGTTTAAAGACTTCAAGGTGCAGAGAATACTCCAGCAAGTGATCTGTGCACCATGCTGCAGGGGAAGGCGAAACCCCCCAGGCCTCTTCCAATTTGCCCTGAAGGAAAAATTCCTTCCCGACCCCAAATATGGAGCATGTGGGCAAGATTCACCAGCCAGATACCCAGGAAAGAATTCTCTGTAGTAACTCAGATCCTATCCCATCACAGGCCATTGGGCCTATTTACCATGAATAATTAAAGATCAATTAATTGTCAAAATCATGTTATCCCATCATACCATCTCCTCCATAAAATTATCGAGTTTAATCTTGAAGCCAGATTTTTTTAAATGGGGGAAAAAACTTCCCCTTTGTCTCTGTTGTTGTTCTCCAGGAAAGAGGGGACAGGGAGCAGTGATCCTATGAGAAACATTAAGCCAGGTATGATCATAGATCATCAAATCATACCTAGAACGACTGATTTGGAACCCCCAAATGTGTAAGTAGATCAGGAATGTTTAGAAAGACACAATTAGGTTTATTTCCGTTTATTTCTTATGGCTAGTGGACTCCTCTGTGCTGACCCCAGATACTTTTGTTTGCTTGTAACCTTTAAGCTGAACCCCCAAGAAAGCTATTTTGGGTGCTTATTTTTTGGAATTGCTCTTTTAAAATCTAGCAAAAGCCTAAATTCCAGATCTTTGTTCTTTCTTTTTGTTTTTAATAAAATTTACCTTTTTAAAGAACAGGATTGGATTTTTGGTGTCCTACGAGGTTTGTGCATATGTTGTTTAATTAGCTGGGGGCAACAGCTAATTTCCTGTGTTTTCTTTCTCAGCTCCTCCCTGGAGGAGGGAGTGAAAGGGCTTAAGGGTACCCCACAGAAAGGACTTCCCAAGTGTTCCTTCCTGAGTTCCAAGGGCTTTGCATTTGAGTGGTGGCAGCATCTACCCGTCCAAGGTCAGAGAGAAGCTGTAACCTTGAGAGTTTAATACAAGCAAGGAGTGGCAAGTATTAACGTTTTGAATCCTTGCAGGCCCCCACCTTCTGCACTCAAAGTGCCAGAGTGGGAATCAGCCTTGACACCTGCCCATGCCCTTTTTTCTGGTGTATGACTTCTGATGGCACAATGAATTAGATGTTGGGTAAGTAATGTAGACACTCTAATCATGACAGCAGCATCCATAGAGGTCAAGCATTTGCATCTTCCATCAATATGATAAAGACGGCAGTCCATAACCAAACAACATGCTGTTTGTTCTTGAGCCCCACAGGAACAGGATGGGGAGCTCGAGAAGCCTCAATGGGTAGAGATGTAAGTTAAAGCACCTGTCACCACAATGTATCCTGTTGTAATGAAGAAGGATCTTTCACGAGAAATCTGATGAGGTTCAATAAGGATAAGTGCAGCGTCCTGCACTTAGGACGGAAGAACCCAATGCACAGCTACATACTAGGGACCGAATGGTTAGGCAGCAGTTCTGCGGAAAAGGACCTAGGGGTGACAGTGGACGAGAAGCTGGATATGAGTCAGCAGTGTGCCCTTGTTGCCAAGAAGGCCAATGGCATTTTGGGATGTATAAGTAGGGGCATAGCGAGCAGATCGAGGGACGTGATCGTTCCCCTCTATTCGACATTGGTGAGGCCTCATCTGGAGTACTGTGTCCAGTTTTGGGCCCCACACTACAAGGAGGATGTGGAAAAATTGGAGAGAGTCCAGCGAAGGGCAACAAAAATGATTAGGGGTCTGGAACACATGAGTTATGAGGAGAGGCTGAGGGAGCTGGGATTGTTTAGCCTGCAGAAGAGAAGAATGAGGGGGGGATTTGATAGCTGCTTTCAACTACCTGAGAGGTGGTTCCAGAGAGGATGGTTGTAAACTATTCTCAGTGGTAGAAGAGGACAGGACAAGGAGTAATGGTCTCAAGTTGCAGTGGGGAGGGTTTAGGTTGGATATTAGGAAAAACTTTTTTCACTAGGAGGGTGGTGAAACACTGGAATGCGTTACCTAGGGAGGTGGTAGAATCTCCTTCCTTAGAAGTTTTTAAGGTCAGGCTTGACAAAGCCCTGGCTGGGATGATTTAATTGGGGATTGGTCCTGCTTTGAGCAGGGGGTTGGACTGGATGACCTCCTGAGGTCCCTTCCAACCCTGATATTCTATGATTCTATGATTCACTTAATATGGTTATTCCGAGAAGGACATGAGAGCTGATTCGGAGAGAGCAGGGGATGGAAATCTGACTTATCTATCCACCAAGAAATGCAGCATCAAACCAAAGTACAGTCCCACACCACCTGTTGGCACTGTTCCTTAGAAATGTTGTCTCTGATACATTGTCTGACAGGCTATTTCAGAAAAGGGGTATCTTGACTTTAGCTGTATCATCATTGAGTGACCTGGAAACTCCACTCTCCAAACCTCAGGTCCTAGCTGGTATTGCTTGTCTGGCAATTAGGTATGAAGACAGAGCCCTGGCTGCATTGTGCATGAAGCCAACTACTAAGACAGCTTGATTCATAATTTTCTCTCAAAGCCAAATAAAAACACCCTTCCTTTTGATTCAGTACTATGAGGGGCACAGAGGAGGTGTCACAGCCTTTCATTAACTAAAGAGACAAAAGCTCCTTTTCAGTCTCTGCCAGAATCTTTGCCAATTTTTCCAAACCCAAAAATCCCAGAAGAAATGAAACAATTAATTTGATTTGTGGAGTGTGAGAGGATGGGAGCTGCAGTGAGCAAACAGCCTAGGATAAACCAGGACCTCTAAAGTGCAGTCTTGGCTCCAGTCATCTCTCTCTTAGCTGCAGCCCATAATGCCCACAATGGAATGTTTCGGTACCTCTAGGGTTAAATGCTTCCATCTCCAAAACTACACAAAATAATTTTAACAAACCCAGCACCTAAATTTCTGTCTGCTTACTGAAGAGGTGGGAACATTTCAGAGTGGGAGCAAGTTCTCCCACTTTTACAGACTTTGGGAACGGGTGAAGTAAGAAATTGAAGAGGTTCCCTCCATCAAACACAAGGGTCAAGAGTCTCTAATCTGAGTGGCTGCTCTGGTGTTTAGTAAGATATGATGAGCGAGCAAAACGCTTCCCACACTGAGTGCAGGAATATGGTCGTTCTCCTGAGTGAGTTCTCTGATGCTGAGTAAGAGATGATGAGCGAGCAAAGTGCTTCCCACACTGAATGCAGGAATATGGTCGCTCTCCTGAATGGATTTTCAGATGTTCAGTGAGAGATGATGAGTGAGCAAAGCACTTCCCACACTGCGTGCAGGGATAGGGTCGCTCTCCTGAATGGATTCTCAGGTGGTTGGTAAGGCCTGACAGTTGGGTGAAACTTTTCCCACACTCAGTGCAGCAATAGGGTTTCTCTCCAGTGTGGATTCTCTGGTGGCGAGTGAGATGATGCATATAGACAAAGCCTTTTCCACAGTCAGTGCAGCGATGGAGTTTCCCAGTGTGCACTCTCTGATGTTTAGAGAGACTGTCTGGATGACGGAATACTTTCCCACACTCAACACAGCGATGGAGTCTCCCCGTAATATGGGTTTCCTGGTGTCTCCTGAGACTTTGAAGGAGACTGAATTTTTTCCCACACTCAGCACAGCAATGGGGCTGCTCCCCAGTGTGGATCCTCTGATGTCTGATCAGATGTTCTCGTAGGCAAAATTTTTTTCCACACTCATGGCACAAGAAGGGTCTCTCTTCACTGTGGATTTTCTGGTGCCGAGTAAGATTTGATGTAAGTTTGAAGCCTTTCCCACACTGGCTACAGCGATGGGGTCTCTTTTCTGAGTGGATTCTCTGGTGATTACGAAAAGTTGACGAATCCATAAATTGCTTTCCACACTCAGCGCAGGCATAGGGTCTCTCTCCTGAGTGGACTCTCTTGTGGATGGTAAAAGCTGATAAGTATAAGAATCTTTTTCCGCACTCACCACAATGATAGGGTCTCTCTCCAGTGTGGATTCTCTGGTGGGCAGTGAGCAGTGATAACTGGTTGAATATCTTCCCACATTCAGAACAGGGATGGTCTCTCTTCTTTCTGTGAGCTTTCCCATGTGCTCTGAACTCCTTCTTTCTCCTAAAGCTTTCCCCACACTCACTACAGTGATACAGTTCCTGTCTCTTATGAACCATCCAGTGGTGGCTTATCAGGTCTCTTTGCACCTTGAATTCTTCTCTGCATACACGACAGGTAAATAGGCTCTTTCTGGGCTCAGCTTTAACCTCTGCAGGAGGCTTTCGATATGGCCTGGATCTCCTCTGATGGCCTCTTGAGGTTGCCGGCTCATTCCTGATCAGCTTTTTCTTCTGCCTTTGTGGCCTGCCCTGCCTCTTGTGGTGTCTTCCCTGCTCAGATTTCTTGGAATGGTTCTTCCCTGATGTCCCTGGGAAGGGCCTGAGTGACTCCAGGGTGCCAGGCCCTTCCTCAGGAGTCTGCCCCTCAGCTCTGCTCAGGGTCCTTGCCCCTGCTTGGTGCGGAAGAGAGTACAGATGTTATTTCTTGTGCTGCTCACAAAGGGAAACCACTAATATTCCCAGCAGGGGGATGTGCCTGAGTCAGCCTCATGCCCCTCCCCTCAGAGCAGGGCTGGCTATTGGCAGTTGAGTGCAAGAGGCCACACTCTCTGGGGCCCCAGTGCTGGGGGAAGGAGGAGAAGGTCAGTGTCCCATAGGCCCTGCTAATAGTCCTCCAAGTCAACGTGAAAATCAGCCCCCACAATCCTCTCTCTACACTGAGGCCCATTTCACTGGGGAGAACAGCATCACCACACACCAGCACTGAGGACCCCTCTCCCGAGGGACACACACGGAACACTCACACTATGATGGGATCCCAACGGCTCCGTGTTCTATGGAAAATGGGGGAGGGGGAAGAGACTGGGGGAATCTGCGTAAGGGGAGAGATGGGGTTTCTAGGGGGCTGTCTGGGTGAGGAGCTGTAGCACTTCTCATGTTTGGGCTTCAATCCGTATTGTAATGCTCTGGGAGGGGAGAGTTTGCAGCTGATGGACGATTCCTGAAATGAGCTCTCTGGCTCCCACTGATGGAAAGGGCAGAGCTGCTTCCCTACCTGCTCCAGGGGAAGAGCTCTGTGTGAGGAAGAAGCCCAAGGAGCTCTCAATTGCTGACCAGTCCCAGGTCTCTTCTGCATCTGGAAAATCTGCACCAAGACAAGAAGTCTTTGGTTGACATCATATGAACTGAATGATTATCACTGAAAGAAGCCCTTTACCCTGCACGGTAAATTACTCATTTATGGTCACTGTTGGACAGTGGGTTCCACAATGCACAAGAGGGGAAGCTATTTGCGTCTCAACAGTTACTTTGTACTGTGGTAGCACAACTGAGATCATGGTTCCATAGTACCAGGTGCTACACAAAAAAACAGAGAGATCGCCCTGATGTTGAAGAACTTATACACTAAATACACAAAGGGTGGGAGAGAACCTTAGCCAAAGGAGTAATTTGCTGTTGTAATAATTGGGCCCACAAATTTTACCCTAATTGGCCATTTAATTGTAAAAACTGTGAGAAAATCTATAAGTGTTACAATGTCCTACAACAACAAATGTTGATGGGAAAAGGTGAAAAATATAAACAAGATGATGGAATTAGTCCAAACAAAAAAGGCCTATAACGCAATTCAAGGACAGTGTTAAAATGATGGCTGTAAACAAGAGAAGTGTGGAACTGGACATTAACGAACCAAAATGACTGAGTTTAATTTAGGCCTAACTGGCAGAAAAACAATGAGGGGCTGTGCTATTTTGCCTACTAATTCCTTTAAGGGTTTCTCAAAAGAAAACACTTTCAGGGGACAATAAAGGAGCAGAACTGAATGCAACCCTTGCTGACTGAAAAAAACAGCAACAGCAGGAGCGTGCCAACAACTGCTGCAGTGAGCGATACCATCAAGCTGCCGTCCTGATCCTGATTTTGGGACCCCAGATCTTCTTCATCCTAATCCTAAAAGATGTCTTAACAAGACCGGACCAGAGAAAGGGAGCTGGAGGATACTGCCACCGTTACCAGTTCTCGCTAACTCCCCCAAATCACCTGGAATGTGAGATTTTTGTGCCCCTGTCCCTCTTAACTCCCATGAATTCTTTTCATTCCCCATCATATTTCTTCTCTTTCTTATTTTTCTCCCTTTGCCTTCTAATAAGTAAGAGTCTGGCTTAGCTGGCCAAAACTGCCATAGTTTTCAACCTGCTGTAAGCCTGTGATCAAAGAAGCAGCCAAACACATTGTTCAGAACAGACCAACGCTGGTACACGTTTGCCAGGCAGGTCTCCAATTGGCTGATCAGACCATGTGCCGTGCCTGTGTTTCTCCAGCCATGAAGCGGCAAGTAAGAGTAAACCCGAGTCAGAAGCCACATGTTCTATCCATGCTGTTCTTTTCTCTTCCGTCTTGAGTGGGTTTGTCTTTTTTTGTCTCCTAGGAAACGGGATCGAATTTTTATAATATCAACAACAGCTCCAAGAGCTTTGATATTTCAAAAGGACAGTTATTACCATGTTTAATACTATCTAAAAGACTTTCCAACAGAGAACTTTTGTCCAAAGACTCTCTCCAGCTAAAGGGAAAGGCAACAAGGGACACTGTCAAAATAAAAGTATTACATCATCCCTGACATTTCAAATGCCTTATCTCTTGTTCCTTTTTTTTTTCCCCTGTATCTTTAATAAAAGAATAGAAAAAAAATGTTGTGGTGTTTTCCATGGTACTACGCAGGCTACTGTTTCTATATTCCTGACCCCAAAGCTTATTTAACACTCTTTAATGTTGCCCATGACAGTGTCATGTTAACATCTTTGTCTCTCTAGGCCCATGTAGTCTATATGAATTAATACAACATTGTCCAAGGTCAGCCAGCAGCTCAGTGGCAGAATGAGGAATAGAGTTCAGGTCTCCTCACTCCCACAACATGATGTTGTCTCCCAACTAATCCTGGAGAGTAATAACGAAATCCCTTATTAATGTCAACTGAGAGCCCAAAAAAGTGATGGAACAATGTTAAGTACCTACAAAATTGGGCCTGAACTTGGAACGGAGACACCCAAGTGCTGCTTGGCCAATGATTCAGACAGCCAGGGAAGGGTTACAAACACTTTGATAGACGGGATTAGTACTCAAAATGATGTTGACAAACTGGAGAATTGGTCTGAAATCAACAATGTGAAATTCAAGAAACACAAGTACGAAATAGTTCATTTAGGAAGGAAAAATGAAATGCACAATAGAAAATGGGGAATAACTGCCTTGGCAGCAGTACAGCAGAAAAGAACGTGACGGTTATAGTGGATCACAAATTGAATGGTAGCCGATAATGTGATACTGTTCTAAAAAAGCCTAATATTAGACTAAAAGACTAGCATTCTGAGATCTACTGTCACTTTGGCCAAAACATATCAGGATTCCAGCTGCCTTCAGCTACTTGTTCGATCCCTCCATATGACTTTAACTCCTTCCTCACCTGGGTGGGTACATCTCAGAATGTCCCCATCTTCATCTTCTGTGAGACCCTGAACACATAGATCTTCCCCTCGTTCTATGCTGGAGATCACCACTGGCTTGGGGGTTTTGATTCCTGCTTAGAGAAAAGCATCACCGCTAAGCACTTCTAGGCACAGAAGTGCTGCACTTTCCACAGATGCACATGCAATGTTTGTGCCAATTAGGCTATCAGCTAATTGTGAAGGCTAATAGGCAATTGTTTTCCCTAGAAACATGAACTGCAGCTTATGGTCAACACTCCTGGTAGCCGGCAGTGGTGGGATTGTAAAATTGCTGAGTGGATATTTGGAGGGAGGATCCCAGAGCCTAGGCACCAGCCCGAGAACATCTACAATGCAATTTTTAGCCATACAGTCTGAGTCCCACATCCTGAGTCAACTGACCCAGGCCAGCCAGAGCAGCATAGATTAACCCAGCATACACCAGCATAGCTGAACCCAGTCTGCCTTTCTCCTTAACTGTGGTGTTGGCTTCATACTGTAGGCTTGAAGAACACACCATTGTTTTCTGCTCATGTGCTCTGTCTGGGAACTACAAGAGCCAGAATTCTCTTGCACTAAACTGTGGAGCCCTAGTGACCATGGGTGGAAGTACATCCTCTTGAACATATGCAGTTCAAAACAGTGTAGTTTTAGACCTTTCAGTCCCAGGATATTAGAGAGATCAGCTGAGTGAGGTAATATCTTTTATTGGACCAACTTCTGTTGGTGAGAGAGAGTTTTCCTTTCCCAGACTGGAAGAAGAGCTCTGTGTGGCTCAAAAGCTTCTCTCTCTCAACAACAGAAATTGCCCCAGTAAAAGATATTACCTCACCCACCTGGTCCCCCCTGGGTGCTCTGCTCAGTTAAACACACCTCTATCCATCCACACCCATGCACCCCTCCTTCCAACCCCATAGACACTGTTCCTCCCAACCATTCATACCAATGCTCCATCTCAGTTACGGTGTCTCTGTGCAGCACCCAGTGCAGTGGGGCCCTGATCTCACAGACACAGCTCCTCACCTAATGAGACCAGAATCTGGTAATTTTCACACATGATGTGTCTGTAAAGTTGCCTTTGCTCCTCGCCCAGCAGGGCCCACTCCGCTGGGGAGAAATACAAGGCCACATCCTCAAACGTCACCGACATCTGAAAGGACAAACAACCCAACTCAGCACGGCAAAGTTTACACACTGGTAGAGGAATAGCTGTTGCAGGTGAGGCAGATGTATCGTGGTCCATGGAACCGGGAGCGCCCTAGGAGGTTTGAAAGTTTGTACCATTATTATGGGTGCGGGTTTGCGCAGCATAAAAAAAGTAATGAAGAGTGTTTTCTATGTCTGTGATTCACTACACAGTGGTGGCTCCGAGAGCTGGGCCCGGCCCGCAGCTGTGGGTGTTGTATCCTGTCACAAAGAGCTGCATCACTTCTGAGGCTTCATTCTCCTGACCCTCTGTCATGACGAGACAGGCAGGCCAAACGTCAGTGAGTGTCACAGCAACCTGGAGCACCAGGTCAAAGCCCCACTTACATTTAGCCTGCACACCTGACCCTCTGTCACCATGCTGGGGGGCTGGGCAGACCAAACCTGAATAGCACTACGACCCTTCTAGCCATGAGGCAATGCCCAGAGCAGGGCACTGGGGGCAGGCAGCCCCATAGGACTCTGCTGGAGCCACTACTGCAGGGTGAATTTGGGGCACTGGAGTGGCATTGTGGGGTGTGTGCAGGGTTGGTTCACTCCCCAGGTGCTCCCTCCCTGGGCTTGCCCTCTTTCTTGGGCAGGAATTAGGGTTACAGTGTTGTAGCTGTGTTGGACCCAGGATATTACAGAGACAAGGTGGGGGAGGTAATATCTCTTATTGGACCAACTTTATTTGTTCTTGAGCTACACAGAGCAGGGTCCCAAAGCCCAGGCTCCAGCAGGAGCCCAAATGTTTGCACTGCCATTAAACTGCCCCTAGGCTGAGCTCCATCAGCTGGCACAGTCCGGCTGCAGGTTTCAGTTGCCATCTGCACAGACCCTGGGAGCCTGCAGCTCAAGCAGGAGCAGCCCAGGCTGGTAGCGCTGGAGGCCCCGGGCTGGATCCCCAGCACGCTGCCCGATGGGGCGCTCACAGAAGGAACCTTCCCCCCGCAGCACCTCCCCGGGGAAGGGTCCCGCCTGCCCCCGTCAGCGAGCGGGGGCGTCTCGGTCGGGCTCTCGCTGGCTGGGGCGCGGACCCTGCCGGGCTCCGCTGCACAGACCGGCCCCCGGGGGGTGGCTCCGATCCCAGGCGCGGTTCGGCTCCGGCACCGGCAGCCTCCTCCCCAGGCAGCGATTCGCAGCCTCTGCGGCCGCTTCCCTCCCTCCGCGGCCGCCTCTGGCGGCGCCTCCCCGGGCCCCGCTCACCGCCCCGCGCGCCGGGGCTGCAGCCTGCAGAGGGGGCTCGCTCCCGCACGCGCCGCTCGGGCCGGGCTCGGCCCCCGGGTCTCCGCGGCGGGCACGAGAAGGTCCCTCCCTTCGCCCGCCCCCTCGCGCAGTCATTCCTGGGCCTGTCTAGGCTGTGGAGGACCCCGAGCTCTGTGGGTTTAACCCTTAATCATCTCGGTCGGGGAAGCGAGTTGCAGGGGGAGCCACTAGGGGAGACGGGGTGAAGTCGCTTCTCTGTGGGTTGGTGGCTCCCATCCCTTGTGCAAAGGCGGGTATTGCACCAATGTTACAGTGGGGGGCTGGGCGCCCTGTGTAGGATGGAAACCACTTCAACCGGGGGGTGCTGCTGCACCTGCACCCCCAGCACCCTGAGTTCCAGGCCCCCTCTTTATTCATCAGGGTGTGAGACCTTTTCAAACATTTCACCAGAATAAATATGGATTGAGATTCATAACAGTGTCTATCAGTAAATTAATAGATTTAATAATTATTCAAACCTAGAACTGGGATGTGATTGGCTGTAAGTAATAAAATACTTTCATGGCACTTACAGTGCCCTGAAAAGTGAGACAAGGATATGTCATTCCGCAAGCTGAAACTCTGCATCTGGTCTACACTCTGCTAAATATCAGACCCCACTGAGTTTCTATTTTGTATCTGATTTAACAGTAGTCATACCATATGTATGAAAAAAAAATCAACCGAAAGCAATATTCAACCAAATTGTTTCAGACCGACATGTAATGTTTTCACATAAATTATATGGACAGTTACAATTCAAGAAAGCTCCGTGACTAACCTTTCTTGGTCCTTTAGCCATTTTTCCGGTTCTCAATTTGTTTATCTAGAGAACTGTCTTGCAGCAAAAAATAAATAAATAAATAAACAAACAAGGAGTCCTTGCGGCACCTTAGAGACTAGCAAATTTATTTGGGCATAAGCTTTTGTGGGTTATGACCCACTTTATTAGATACATGGAGTGAAAGATACAGTAGGCAGGTATAGACAGCCCATGAAAAGATGGGAGTTGCCTTACCAAGTGGGGGGTCAGTGCTAACGAGGCCAATACAGTCAGGGTGGATGTGGCCCATTCTCAACAGTTGACAAGAAAGTATGATTTCTGTCCATTTATTCTTTTGCATAGAGACTGTCTGGTTTGGACAATGTACATGGCAGAGGGGCATTGCTGGCACCCTGACTGAATTGGCCTCATTAGCACTACAATAAGTAATATTTTTCCTCTGCTGATATTCATACCTTCTTGTCAACTGTTGGGAATGGGCCACATCCGCCCTGACTGTATTGACCTCATTAGCACTGACCCCCCACTTGGTGAGGCAACTCCCATCTTTTCATGTGCTGTCTATTTATACCTGCCTACTGTATCTTTCACTCCATGCATCTGATGAAGCGGATCACAACCCATGAAAGCTTATGCCCAAATAAATTTGTTAGTCTCTAAGGTGCCACAAGGACTCGTGGGTTTTTTGCTGATACAGACTAACACAGCTGCCCCTCTGAAACCTGTCTTGCAGCAGTTACATCTTCACTCTGTTTCAAACTATGAGCACAGTTTAGCTCATATTTGTATTCTCCGCATTTAGGAGGCAGAAAATTCCAAATTCCACAGACCTTACACACCTTTACTTATCTAATTATGTACACAACAGTTTAGCTGGCAGTAGACCATAGCACACAAGTAGCATTAGATCAAGGAAACATTTGCACTAACTGTACCTAGCACACAGTTCATATTTGGCAAACCTTAAGAGAGCATACATCTTGCGTCTGACAGACGTCGCATATACAATAAACAAAGATTCGAACAAGTTAACTACTAGTAAATTAGCAAAATAAAGGTTAGCACGAGCAGACTATTCTGTCAGATTTTTAGTAGTTCAAAGCTCTAACAACCCCATTTCTAGAGTGGGAATAAGTGTTTAGAGAATATTACAACTGAACTGAAATGCAGCTGGCATAACCTGCTCCAAAAAGAAAGGCAGTCACGGATAAAGTCAGCACTGCAGGGAAGATTGCAGGTCTTCACTTACACACATGGCAACGCAGCCATTTCAGACTCATAATTCTATTGTATTATTTTATTCCCTCCAAGAACGATGAGACAACAGTGACAAAGTCACATCTCGTCATCGCCCTCCGACAGAGAGGCATGGCCATGGATTTCCCCACTTGAGAAACAGGGAGACACTGACCTGGTTCTGCTGATCAATTTGTTTTGTGGCTGTTTGATTGATTTGTTTGATTCATGGACTCCAAACTGCAGTCCTGACTCCAATCATCTCTGTCCCAGCTGCAGCCTATAATGCTCACAATGGAATGTTTCGGTACCTCTAGGGTTAAATGCTTCCATCTGCTTCCATCTCCAAAACTACACAAAATAATTTTAACAAACTCAGCACCTAAATTTGTGTCTGCTTACTGAAGAGGTGGGAACATTTCAGAGTGGGAGCAAGCTCTCCCACTTTTACAGACTTTGGGAACGGGTGAAGTAAGAGATTGAAGAGGTTCCCTCCATCGAACACAAGGGTCAGGAGTCTCTATCCTGAGTGGGTGCTCTGGTGTTTAGTAAGATATGATGAGCGAGCAAAGCGCTTCCCACACTGAGTGCAGGAATATGGTCGCTCTCCTGGGTGGGTTCTCTGATGCTGAGTAAGAGATGATGAGCGAGCAAAGTGCTTCCCACACTGAATGCAGGAATATGGTCGCTCTCCTGAATGGATTTTCAGATGTTCAGTGAGAGATGATGAGTGAGCAAAGCGCTTCCCACACTGAGTGCAGGGATAGGGTCGCTCTCCTGAATGGATTCTCAGGTGGTTGGCGAGGCCAGACAATTGGGTGAAACTTTTCCCGCACTCAGTGCAACAATAGGGTTTCTCTCCAGTGTGGATTCTCTGGTGGCGAGTGAGATGTTGTAGACGGACAAAGCCTTTTCCACAGTCAGTGCAGCGATAGAGTTCGCCAGTGTGTACTCGCTTGTGTCTAGTGAGACTGTTTGGATGACCAAATACTTTCCCACACTCAGCACAGCAATGGAATCTCCCCGTACTATGAATTTCCCGGTGTCTCCTGAGACTTTGAAGGAGACTGAATTTTTTCCCACACTCAGCACAGCAATAGGGCTGCTCCCCAGTGTGGATCCTCTGATGTCTGATCAGATGTTCTCGCAGACAAAATGTTTTCCCACACTCATGGCACAAGAAGGGTCTCTCTTCGCTGTGGATTTTCAGGTGTCTAGTAAGACTTGATGTAACTTTGAAGCCTTTCCCACATTGGTTACAGCGATGGGGTCTCTTTTCTGAGTGGATTGCCTGATGATTACGAAATGTTGATGAATCCATAAATCGCTTTCCACACTCAGCGCAGGCATAGGGTCTCTCTCCTGAGTGGACTCTCTTGTGGATATTAAGAGCCGATATATGGAAGAATCTTTTTCCACATTCAGCACAGCAGTAGGGTCTCTCTCCTGTATGTATTCTCTGGTGGGCAGTGAGATGCGATAACTGGTGGAATATCTTCCCACACTCAGAACAGGGATGGTCTCTCTTCTTTCTGTGAGCTTTTCCATGTGCTCTGAACTCCTTCTTTCTCCTAAAGCTCTCCCCACACTCGCTACAGTGATACAGTTCCTGTCTCCTATGAACCATCCAGTGGTGGCTTATCAGGTCTCTCTGCACCTTGAATTCTTCCCTGCACACACGGCAGGTATATAGGCTCTTTTTGGGCTCAGCTTTTCCCTCTGCAGGAGGCTTTAGATTTGGCCTGGATCTCCTCTGATGGCCTCTTCCGGTTCCTGACTCCTTCCTAGTCAGGTGCTTCCTCTGCCTTTGGAGCCTGCACTGTCTCTTGTGGTGCCTTCCCCGCTCAGATTTCTGGGAATGGCTCTCCACTGGTGTTCCTGGGAAAGGCCTGGGTGACTCCAGGTTGCCAGACTCTTCCTCAGGAGTCTGCCCCTCAGCCCTGCTCAGTTTTCTCACCCCTGCTTGGTGGGGAAGAGAATTCAGATGTTATTTCTTGTGCTGCTCAGAAAGGGATACCACTAATATTCCCAGCAGGGGGATGTGCCTAAGGGAGCCCCATGCCTCTCCCCTCAGAGCAGGGCTGGCCATCGGCAGTTCAGTGCAAGAGGCCAATCTCCCAGGGGCCTCAGTGCTGGGGAAGGAGGAAGAGATCAGTGTCTCATAGGCACTGATAACAGCCCCACAAGCAAACGTGAAAATCGGCACCCACGATTCTCTCCCTAATCTGAGGCCCATCTCAGTGGGGAGAACAGCATCACCACAGACCCAGCACTGACACCCCTCTCCCGAGGGACTCACACTGTGATGGATCCGAATGGCTCCATGTTCTGTGGAAAATGAGGGAGGGGGAGAGACTGGAGGAATCTGCGTAAGGGGAGAGATGGAGTTTCTAGGGGGCTGTCTGGGTGAGGAGCTGTAGTTCTTCTCATGTTTGGGCTTCAATCCGTATTGTAATGCTCTGTGAGGGGAGAGTTTGCAGCTGATGGACGATTCCTGAAATGAGCTCTCCGGCTCCCACTGCTAGAGAGGGCAGGTTCCCTACCTGCTCCAGAGGAATATCTTCGTGTGAGGAAGAAGCCCAAGGAGCTTCCGATTGCTGACCAGTCCCAGGTCTCCACCGTATCTGGAAAATCTGCACCAAGACAAAAGGCCGTTGATTGACATCATATGGACCAAACGGACATCACTGACAGAAGCCCTTTCCCCTGCACTGTAAATTACTCATTTATAGTCACTCTTGGACAGTGGGTTCCACATAGGGTGACCAGATGTCCCGATTTTATAGGGACAGTCCCGATTTTGGGGGCTTTTTCCTATTACCTCCCACCCCTGTCCCGATTTTTTACACTTGCTATCTGGTCATGCTAGTTCCACAACATACAAGAGGAGAAGCTATTTGAGGCTTGACTGTTACTTTGTATTGTGGTAGCACAACTCAGCTTGTGGTTTCATAGCACCAAGTGCTACACAGAGAGATCACCCTGATGTTGAAAAGCTTACATACTAAATACATAAAGGGTGGGAGAGAACCTGAGCCAAAAGAGTAACTTGCTGTTGTAATAATTGGGCCCACAAATTTACCCTAATTGCCAGTATAACTGTAAAAACTGTGGGAAAGTTTATAAAGTGTTACAATATCCTACAACAATAAATGAAGATGGAAAAGGTGCAAAATATAAACAAGATGACGGAATTAGTCCAAACAAAAGAGGCCTACAATGCAATTCAAGGACAGTGATAAAATGATGGCTGTAAACAAGAGAAGTGCGGAACTGGACATTAACGAACCAAAATGACTGAGTTAGAATTTAGGCCTAACTGGCAGAAAAACAATGAGGGGCTGGGCTATTTTGCCCATTACTTCCTTTTGGGGTTTCTCAAAAGAAAACACTTTCGGGGGGAAATAAAGGAGTGGAACTGAATGCAACCCTTGCTGACTGAAAAAACAGCAACAGCAGGAGCGTGCCAACAACTGCTGTGGTGAGCAATACCATCATGCTGCCACTCCTGATACTCTTTTGGGACCCCAGATCTTCTTCGTCCTAATCCTAAAAAATGTCCTAACAAGACTGGACCAGAGAGAGGGAGCCGGAGGATACTGCCACCGTTACCAGTTCTGGCTAACTCCCCCAAATCACCTGGAATGTGAGATTTTGTCTCCGTCCCGCCTAACCCTCATGAATTATTTTCATTCCCCATCATATTTCTTCTCTTCCTTATTTTTCTCCATTTGCCTTCGAGTAAATAAGAGTCTGCCTTAGCTGGGCAAAAATGCCAGTTTGCCACATTGCTGTAAGCCTGTGATCAAAGAAGCAGCCAAACGCATTGTCCAGAACAGACCAACACGGGACAGGTTTGCCAGGCAGGTCTCCAATTGGCTGATCAGACCGTGTGCCGTGCCTGTGTTTTTCCAGCCGTGAAGTGGCAAGTAAGAGTAAACCCGAGTCAGAAGCCACATGTTCTATCCATGCTGTTCTCTTCTCTTCCCTCATGTGGGTTTGTTCTGTTTTGTCTCCTAGGACACCAATGCGAGGAGCCTAGGTAACAAAATGGAGGAACTAGAGCTACTGGTGCAGGAAGTGAAACCAGATATTATACGGATAACAGAAACAGGGTGGAATAGAAGTCATGACTGGACTACAGGTATTGAAGGGTACGTGCTGTTTAGGAAAGACCAAAATAAAGGTAAAGGTGGTGGAGTAGCATTGTATATCAATGATGAGGTAGAACGTAAAGAAATAAGAAGCGATGGAATGGATAAGACAGAGTCCGTCTGGGCAAAAATCACATTGGGGAAGAAAACTACTAGAGCCTCCCCTGGGATAGTGCTTGGGGTGCGCTATAGACCACCGGGATCTAATTTGGATATGGATAGAGCCCTCTTTAATGTTTTTAATAAAGTAAATACTAATGGAAACTGCGTGATCATGGGACACTTTAACTTCCCAGATATAGACTGGAGGACGAGTGCTAGTAATAATAATAGGGCTCATATTTTCCTAGATGCGATAGCTGATGGAATCCTTCATCAAGTAGTTGCTGAACCGACTAGAGGGGATGCCATTTTAGATTTGGTTTTGGTAAGTAGTGAGGACCTCATAGAAGAAATGGTTGTAGGGGATAATCTTGGTTCAAGTGATCATGAGCTAATTCAGTTTAAACTGAACGGAAGGAGAAACAAAAATAAATCTGCGACTAGGGTTTTTGATTTCAAAAGGGCTGACTTTCAAAAATTAAGGAAATTAGTTAGGGAAGTGGATTGGACTGAAGAATTTATGGATCTAAAGGTAGAGGAGACCTGGGATTACTTTAAGTCAAAGCTGCAGAAGCTATCGGAAGCCTACATCCCAAGAAAGGGGAAAAAATTCATCGGCAGGAGTTGTAGACCAGCTGTATGATTAAGAAAAAGCAGAAAGCATACAGGGAGTGGAAGATGGGAGGGATCAGCAAGGAAAGCTACCTTATTGAGGTCAGAACACGTACGGATAAAGTGAGACATGCTGAAAGTCAAGTAGAGTTGGACCTTGCAAAGGGAATTAAAACCAATAGTAAAAGGTTCTATAGCCATATAAATAAGATGAAAACAAAGAAAGAAGAAGTGGGGCCGCTAAACACTGAGGATGGAGTGGAGGTTAAGGATAATCTAGGCATGGTCCAATATCTAAACAAATACTTTGCCTCAGTCTTTAATAAGGCTAAAGAGGATCTTAGAGATAATGGTAGCATGACAAATGGGAATGAGGATATGGAGGTAGATATTCCATACCTGAGGTAGAAGCGAAACTCAAACAGCTTAATGGGACTAAATCGGGGGGCCCAGATGATCTTCATCCAAGAATATTAAAGGAATTGGCACATGAAATTGCAAGCCCATTAGCAAGAATTTTTAATGAATCTGTAAACGCAGGGTTTGTACCGTATGATTGGAAAATTGCCAACATAGTTCCTATTTTTAAGAAAGGAAAAAAAAGTGATCCGGGTAACTACAGGCCTGTTAGTTTGACATCTGTAGTATGCAAGGTCTTGGAAAAAATTTTGAAGGAGAAAGCACTTAAGGACATTGAGGTCAATGATAAATGGGACAAAATACAACATGGTTTTACAAAAGGTAGATCTTGCCAAACCAACCTGATCTCCTTCTTTGAGAAAGTAACAGATTTTTTAGACAAAGGAAATGCAGTGGATCTAATTTACCTAGATTTCAGTAAGGTGTTTGATAACGGTGCCACATGGGGAATTATTAGTTAAATTGGAAAAGATGGGGATCAATATGAAAATTGAAAGGTGGATAAGGAATTGGTTAACAGGGAGACTACAGCCTGTCATACTGAAAGGTGAACTGTCAGGCTGGAGGGAGGTTACCAGTGGAGTTCCTCAGGGATTGGTTTTGGAACCATTCTTATTTAATCTTTTTATTACTGACCTCAGCACAAAAAGTGGGAGTGTGCTAATAAAGTTTGCGGATGATACAAAGCTGGGAGGTATTGCCAATTTAGAGAGAGACCAGGATATCATACAGGAAGATCTGGATGACCTTGTAAACTGGAGTAATAGTAATAGGATGAAATTTAATAGTGAGAAGTGTAAGGTCATTCATTTTAGGGATTAATAACAAGAATTTTAGTTATAAGCTGGGGACGCATCAATTAGAAGTAACAGAGGAGGAGAAGAACCTTGGAGTATTGGTTGATCACAGGATGACTATGATCCACCAATGTGATATGGCCATGAAAAAAGCTAATGCCATCTTGGGATGCATTTGGCGAAGTATTTCCAGTAGGGATAAGGAGGTTTTAGTACAGTTATACAAGGCACTGGTGAGACCTCATCTGGAATTCTGTGTGCAGTTCTGGTCTCCCATGTTTAAGAAGGATGAATTCAAACTGGAACAGGTACAGAGAAGGGCTACTAGGATGATCCTAGGAATGGAAAACTTGTCTTATGAAAGGAGACTCAAGGAGCTTGGCTTGTTTAGCCTAACTAAAAGAAGGTTGAGGGGAGATACGATTGCGCTCTATAAATATATCAGAGGGATAAATACCGGAGAGGGAGAGGAATTATTTAAGCTCAGTACCAATGTGGACTCAAGAACAAATGGATATAAACTGTCCATCGGGAAGTTTAGACTTGAAATTAGACAAAGGTTTCTAACCATCAGAGTGGTGAAGTTTTGAAATAGCCTTCCAAGGGAAGCAGTGGGGGCAAAAGACCTATCTGGCTTTAAGATTAAACTCGATAAGTTTATGGAGGAGATGGTATGATGGGATAACATGATTTTGGTAGTTAATTGATCTTTAAATATTCATGGTAAATAGGCCCAATGGCCTGTGATGGGATGGGATCTGAGTTACTACAGAGAATTCTTTCCTGGGTATCTGGCTGGTGAATCTCGCCCACATGCTCAGGGTTCAGCTGATTGCCATATTTGGGGTCGGGAAGGAATTTTCTTCCAGGGCAGATTGGAAGAGGCCCTGGAATCATAGAATATCAGGGTTGCAAGGGACCTCAGGAGGTCATCTAGTCCAACCCCCTGATCAAAGCAGGACCAATCCCCAATTTTTGCCCCGATCCCTAAATGGCCCCCTCAAGGATTGAACTCACAACCCTGGGTTTAGCAGGCCAATGCTCAAACCACTGAGCTATCTCTCCCCCCAAGGTTTATTGCCTTCCTCTGTAGCATGGGGCCATGGGGTCACTTGCAGGAGGATTCTCTGATCCTTGAAGTCTTTAAACCATGATTTGAGGACTTCAATAGCTCAGATATATGTCAGAGGTTTATCAGAAGTGGGTGGGTGAGATTCTGTGGTGTGCATCGTGCAGGAAGTCAGACTAGATGATCATAATAGTCCCTTCTGACCTTAATATCTATGAATCTATGAAATGGGATTGGATTTTAATAATAGCAACAACAGCTCCAGCCCATTTCAACTAGCTGCTTCTCTTTTCCCCAGGAGGACAGTTATTACCGTCTTTAATACCATCGAAAAGACTTTCAAACAGAGGCCTTTTGACTAAAGACTCTCTCCTGCTAAAGGGAAAGGCAACAAGGGACATTGTCAAAATAAAAGTCTTACGTTATACCTAAAATGTCTTAACTCTTTTTCCTTCTTTTTCTGTATACTTAATGAAAGGTTAGAAAGAATTTTTCATGGTGATTTCCATGGTACTGAGCAGACTACTGTCTCTGTATTCCAAATCCCAAACCTTATTTAACGCTCTTCAATGCTGGCCATAACAGTGTCATGTTAACATCTTTGTCTCTCTGGGCCCATGTAATCTATATGAATTAATACAACATTGTCCAAGGTCTGCCAGCAGTTCAGTGGCAGAATGAGGAATAGAGTACAGGTCTCCTCATTCCCATAACATGTTGCCTCCGAACCAGTCCTGGAGAATAATAAGAAAATCTCTTATTAATGTCAACAGAGAGCCCAATAAAGTGATGGAACAATGTTGGGTCCCTAGAAAACTGGGCCTGAACTCGGAAGGGAAATTCCCAAGTGCTGCTCAGCCAATGATTCAGACAGCCAGCGAAGGATTAGAAACACTTTGGACAGGATTAGAATTCTAAACGATCTTGACAAACTGGAGAATTGGTCTGAAATCAACACGGTGAAATTGAAGAAACACAAGTTCAAATTAGTTCACCGAAGAAGGAAAAATGAAATGCACAATAGAAAATGGGAGATAACTGGCTTTACAGCAGTACAGCAGAAAAGAATGTGGTGGTTAAAGTGGATCATGCATTGAATGAGAGCTGACAACGTGATACTGTTCTAAGAAAGCCTACCAACAATAGACTAAAAGACTAACAATCAGGGATTTATTGTCACCTGGACCACAATCAGGATTCCAGCTGCCTTCCTTCTATCCCTGCACATCAGTTTAACTCCTTCCTCACCTGGGTGGGTTCCTCTCAGGATGTCCCCATCTTCATCTTCTGTGGGACCTGGCACACACAGATTTTCTCCTCGCTCTATGCTGGAGATCACCACTGGCTTGGGGGTTTGGATTCCTGCTTAGAGAAAATCATCACCGCCCATTAGATCTAAGCTAAGCACTTCCAGCTACACAACTGTTGCACTTTGCACCGCTCCATATGCAATGTTTGTTAATTAGGCAATGAGCTAAATGTGAAGGCTAATAGGCAATTTTTTTCTATGGAAACATGTACTGCAACTTATGGTCAACATTCCTGGTGCCTGGCAGTGGTGGGATATTGAGCTGCAAACAACCTGGCACCTGTGGAAAGGGCAGATGGAGAGGACTGCGATGTCTCAAGGGATTGAGGGGAACAGATGTGACAAATGCTGGATATTTCTCCTTACCCTAGGAGATTTACTCAGTTACCCAGCACCCCCCTTTCTCCTGCAGATATGTTTACATAGGAATAAAACACCTGTAGCTGGCCTGGGCCAGATGACTTGGGTTTGGGCCGTTGGACTGTAAAATTGCAGAGTGGATATTTGGAGGGAGGGTCCCAGAACCCAGGCTCCAACTCGGACATGAACATCTGCGATGCAATTTTTAGCCCCACAACCTGAGCTCTACATCCTGAGTCAACTGACCCAGGCCACCCATAGGTCTTGGGCCTATGCCAGGGGTCTTTTATTCCTGCACAGATGAACCCAGTCTGTCTTTCACCTTAACTATGGCATTGGCTGGCCTTTCATCCTGTAGACCTAACGAACACACAACCCTTTTCTGCCTATGTGCTCTGTCCGGGGAACTACAAGAGACACAATTCTCTTGCACTAAACTGTGGAGCCCTAGCGACCATGGGTAGAAGTGCATACTCTTGAAGATATGCAGTGTAGTTGTAGCCATATCAGTCCCAGGATATTAGAGAGATCAGCTGAATGAGGTAATATCTTTTATTGGACCAACTTCTGTTGGTGAGAGAGAGTAGTTTTGCTTTCCCAGACCTGAAGAAGAGCTCCGTGTGGCTCAAAAACTTCTCTCTCTCACCAACAGAAGTTGGCCTAATAAAAGATATTGCCTTACCAACCTTGTCTCCCCCTGAAAGGGCTGCTCTGCTCCATTAAACATGCCTCTATCCATCCACACCCATGCACCCCTCCTTCCAACCCCATAGACACCTCTCCACCCAACCACTCACACCAATGCTCCATCTCAGTTAGTGTGTCTCTGTGCAGCACCCAGTGCACTGGGGCCCTGATCTCACAGACACAGCTCCTCACCTAACGAGACCAGAGTCTGGTAATTTTCCCACATGACGTGTTTGTAAAGTTGCCTTTGCTCCTCGCCCAGCAGCGCCCACTCCGCTGGGGAGAAATACAAGGCCACATCCTCAAACGTCAGCAACATCTGAAAGGACAAACAACCCAACTCAGCATGGCAAAGTTTACACACGGGTAGAGGAAGAGCTGTTGCAGGTGAGGCAGACGTACAGTGGTCCACGGATCTGGGAGGGTTCTGGGAGGTTTGAAAGTTTGTACCATTATTATGGGTGCGGGTTTGCGCAGTGTAAAAGAAGTAATGGACAGTGTTTTCCGTGTCTGTGATTCACCACACAGTGGTGGCTCCGGGAGCTAAGCCTGGCCCCCTGCTGTGGGTGTTGTATCCTAGCACAAAGAGTAGCACCACTTCTGAGGCGGCGTCCTCCTGACCCTCTGTCATGATGGGACAGGCAAGCCAAACGTCAGTGAGTGTCGCAGCAACCCGGAGCACCAGGTCACAGCCCCACTTACATTTAGCCGGCACACCTGACCCTCTGTCACCATGCACTGCAGCCCCTCCAGCCATGATGCAATGCCCAGAGCAGGGCACTGGGCCCAGTCAACCCCACAGGACCTTGCTGGAGCCACTATTGCAGGGTGAGAGTGGGGCACTGGAGTGGCATTGTGGGATGAGTACAGGGGTGGTTCACTTCCCAGTCACTCCCTCCTAGGGCCTGCCCTCTTTCTTGGGCGGGAACTAGCGTTCAACATGGCTACAACAGTGTGTCCCAGGATATTACAGAGAAAAGGTGGGGGAGGTAATATCTCCTTCTGGACCAACTTTATTTATTCTTGAGCTACACAGAGCAGGGTCCCAAAGCCCAGGCTCCAGCAGAAGCCCGAATGTCTGCACCACAATTAAACTGCCCCTAGGCTGAGCCCCATCAACTGGCACAGCCCAGCTGCAGGGTTTAGTTGCCCTCTAGACCATCGGTGGGAAAACTGCATCCTGCAGGCCGGATCTGGCCCATCAGGGTTTTGGATCCGGCCCGCGGTATTGCCCCCATGGTGCTGCAGGCCCCGTGCCACTCTCAGAAGCGGCCAGCACCACGTCCCTGCTGCCCCTGGGGGCGGGGAAGGGGGGGCAGAGGGCTGCGTATGTTGCCCTCACCTCCAGGCACCCCCCGCAGCTCCCATTGGCTGGGAACGGGGAACCACGCGCGGCCAATGAGAGCTTCGGGGGAGGTACCTGGAGGCGTGTCAAGGGCAGTAAGCGAAGCCCTGTACAAAGCCCTGCCCGCCCCCCGGGGCCACGCAGGGACCTGGTTCCGGCCGCTTCCCGGAGCGGCGCGGCATGGGGCCAGGGCAGGCAGGGAGTCTGCCCTGGCCCCGGTGCATGCCGCTGCCACCCCTTAGCCACTTTAGGTAAGCAGCACCAGACTGGAGCCCGAACCCCTCCTGCACCCCACCCCCCAACTCCCTGCCCTGAGCCCCCTGCCAAACCCCACACCCCTCCTGCACCCCTGCCCAGAGCCCCGTCCCGCACTCTGCACCCCAACTCCCTGCCCTGAGCCCCCCATACACCTCACACCCCTCCTCTGCCCCAATCCCTTGCCCTGAGCCGGTTCCTGCACCCCGCACCCCAACCCCCTGCCCTACATACAATTTCCCCACCCAGATGTGGCCCTCGACCCCAAAAGTTTGCCCACTCCTGCTCTAGAGAGACCCTGGGAGCCCCAGCCAGAGAGCTGCAGCTCAAGCAGGAGCAGCCCAGGCTGGTAGCGCTGGAGGCCCCGGGCTGGATCCCCAGCACGCTGCCCGATGGGGCGCTCACAGAAGGAACCTTCCCCCCGCGGTACCCACGGACCCAGCGCAGCCTCCCCCCGCGCTCCCATCGCCGGTGTGTGCAGCGGCCCCGGCCCGGCGCCGAGCCCGGTGTCCCGAGCGGGCCGGTCCCAGCCCCCGTGGCACAGGCCAGAGGAACCGACCGAACGGACCCGCCCGCGCAGCAGCCTCCTCCCCGGGCAGCGATTCGCAGCCTCCGCGGCCGCCTCCCTCCCTCCGCGGCCGCCTCTGGCGGCGCCTCCCCGGGCCCCGCTCACCGCCCCGCGCGCCGGGCTGCAGCCTGCAGAGGGGGCTCGCTCCCGCACGCGCCGCGCTCAGGATTGAGGCACGGAAGGTCTCGCAGTCATTCCTGGGCGTGTCTAGGCTTGTGGAGGACCCCGAGCTCTGTGGGTTTAACCCTTAATCATCTCGTTAGGAGAAGATTTGTTACAGACCCAGCCAGTCGTGAACACGAAGCGAGGTCGGTTCACTGCTGATGGGTCCCATCGTCCCATTCCTTATTCAAAAGAAAAGGAGGACTTGTGGCACCTTAGAGACTAACCCAATTTATCTGATTAATGCTCAAATAAATTGGTTAGTCTCTAAGGTGCCACAAGTCCTCCTTTTCTTTTTGCGAATACAGACTAACACGGTTGCTACTCTCAAACTTATTCAAAAGAGTATTTTGTAGTAATTCATCAGTGTGCGATGCTTTTTCAAACATTTTACCATAATAAATCTGATTGAATTTCATGACAAAAACAACAAAGAGACCTGTAGCACCTTAGAGACTAACCAATTTATTTGGGCATAAGCTTTCATGGGCTATAACCCACTGTTTCATAACAGTGTATATACATAATTATACATTATTTAATAATGCAATATTCAAATCTGGAATTGGAATGGGAGTGGCTGACAGTGACAAAATATTTCTCGGAGCACCAGGAGTGCCATTGTGGTGAGACAAGAATATGCCATTCCCAGAGCTGAAACTCCATGTCTGGGCTACTCCCTGCCAAATATTACACCTCTGTTTCTATTTTGTATCTCATTTGACAATAGCTATAGCACATGCACAAAATAATCAACCAAAAGCAATAGTCACACCAAATTGTTGCAGATCCAGAGGTAATGTTTTCACATAAATTATATGGACAGTTACAAATTAAGAAGTCTATGGGACTAACTCCGCTTGCTTTTTGGACAAATTAAATCAGACAAATTAAGAACAGGAGCAATGGCTAAGGTATCAGAACTTGTTTCATTGTGTTATAAATAGGAAAAAAATTGTTATAATTAGCATGTGTATTTTGCTTGGTGCACAACCAAAAATATATGAAGAAACTATCAGGCACACCTGGCCGCCAAATAGTCATGTTTATTATTGATATAAAAACACACTAGAAAGAGCTTAATGCAGACTATGCTCAGACTGATCTCTGATAGCTTCTAAAACACAGATCACAGTGAACATCATTAGAGGACTCTCAAACAACTTACAGGGATATTCCCCTATTCCCAGACACACTACACTACTAGTTAAACCAGTCTTTAATGTTGCTGTGAGAGTTGCACAGTAGTAGTGTGGCTCTTGGTACACTTTACTTTTCAAGTTACTTGGAGAACTCTTCATCTGTGCTGGAATCTCTCCACTTCCTTTTCCTTTTAAATTCCAGAATTCCATTACAGAAACGGCAACTCTCCTTTTGATCAAGTTTTTGGAAACATAAAATGGTACCCAGTGTTGTATGTCATCCTAACAGTTTGTACCTGTAAGGACAGCACCTTTGCTTTAATTAGTGTTAATGTTTATTTAGATAACTTTGATGTTCTCTACTGAACTAATCAACATTTGGAACATTATTTTAAATATTAATATTATATACAAGCTACATTGAAAAGAACTGAAGAGGGGCAGATGAATGATTTATCTGGCCTAGGAACATTTCTTTCTCTGAACAGTCATAGAATATATCTGAAAAGAGGCAGTACTGTACAGTACTTTAATATAATACCCCAGATGCATTTTGTTTTCTGTCAACTTACTTGCCAGCAAGCACAGAAATCTCTGATGGAAATAGCTGAGGGTCACATTTTAGAATTTTTCTGTGATTAGATTTAACTTCCAGTGTACTTAATGACAGGTTTCAGAGTAGCAGCCGTGTTAGTCTGTATTCGCAAAAAGAAAAGGAGTCCTTGTGGCACCTTAGAGACTAACCAATTTATTTGAGCATAAGCTTTCGTGAACTACAGCTCACTTCATCCTTTTCTTTTAGTGTAATTAATATGATGCATGGTTCACCATTAGTGAGATGGCATTTACTCAATTGATATATCTGTAGCACTTGTTCACTTTGACTCTGAAATTGTAAATTAAGCAAAAAAAAGTTGCTAATTATTATAACACAAATATTTTCATTAATTAAGGATTTCCTGCTTTTGTTGTTAGTGCTGTTCACCAGTGACACCTTATTTACTCATTCTTAATGGTTTAAATTATAAGACACTGTTTGATACAGAAGGGAATTTTCTTCATGAATTACGACAGAGAATTCCTGTATAATTTGGTGCTGTGTGTGCCTCTGCATAAGAACTTTCATGCTCCATAATCCTGATGCAACCAACTACTGCACCGACATCCATGTGGAGGGGGAACATTGATGAAGGTGAATGTGCAGAAGGATAGGAAAAGGGCTTTAGACATTCATATATTTCAAGGCCAGAAAGGATCAGTAGATCATCTAGTCTGACCCCTGTATAAAATCATCTAGTCTGACCCCTCTATAAGACAGGCCATTAAATTTCACCTAGTTACTCCTGTATTGAGCACAATATCTTGTATTTGGCTAAAGCATCTTCCATAACCGTGTCCCAACAGGCTTTGAAGACACCAGGAGCTGGAGAATCCACCACTTCCCTTGGGAGTTTGTCCTCATGGTTAATCACCCTCACGGTGGAAAACTGGTGCCTTATTTCTAATTTGAATGAATCTTTCTTCAGCTTCCAACCATCGGTTCTTGTTCTGCCTTTGTGAAAGGAGCATTCTGGGGGGAAGAAAGCGGGTTCTCAGGCACCACTGATCTTGAGAAAGCCCCACTCCTGTGATACAAATATCTATTAGCTGGGGACACCTGAAAAGTGTGTCTACTTCATGTTGGGCCCATTCGTGCTAACCCCCCATCCCATGCAATATAAGGCTGTGTTTATTTCTAATTTCCCCTTTGGAAGGTCCCATTTCACCCCTACCCCTAATACAGAGCTTTGTTTACTCTCCCCCCGCCCCAGTTTAAGTGGAAGGGAAACAACTAACTGCCACTCAGGGCTGGGGAAGGACCTTCTCAGCCTGAGAGGGAGGATGGAAAATTATCCCCAGACATAGGAATTTTAACTCCCATGTTGAAAAGGAGTCACTAATACAAGGGGAGGGGTTTTTCTTTTAAAACTCCTGACAGGGCAACAAAAACAAAAATAAAATGGGCTCCCCAGATACTTTATTACTGTCCCCACCACCAGCAGCAAGATGGTTCAATTCAGAGCAAAGCAAGACACTAACCGTCTCAATGAACCATTTCGACAGTGGGTGGGGAGAAGAGGGGAAATAAAATGCCAAAGGCTCAAAATTGACCTGCTTCATTTTTATTTTCCACATTTTTAAATGCACAGATTCATGGATTCCAAGGCCAGAAGGGGCCAGTGTGACCATCTAGTCTGACCTCCCATGTAACACAGGCCAGAGAACGGCCCCAAAATCATTCCTAGAGCAGAGCTTTTAGGAAAACATCCCAACTTGATTTTAAAAAAATCAATAGATTTGAGGGTTTGGTGAGGGATCCCCCCTCCCCCCGTGAGAATGGGACCTTCCAAAGTGGCAGTTATGGCAGTTGGCCAGACCCTTCCTCTGCCCCCACAGTGTCAGGCTCACAACTGCTGAGCTCACAGTGTCAGGGGAGGGCTCAGCAGTCGTGGCCAGGCCTGAACTGGGGGTAATTTCATCCCCACAGCCTATGGCAGGGTGGGGTTTAACTGGTGTGACTGAATGCACCCCTATATTCACACCCTAAACACTCCTGAAATTACCTTTGTATAATATATGCCTTGTAAGGTATCATTTCAAATCTAATAACTTTCTGATCAATAATATCTTGGTAAAATGTATGTAGCAATGTTATGTGTAAAGTTATGAACATAAGCTGGAATCATGTGTTTACCAGACAAGTCTGGGAAGTGGGCAAACCCGTCCCTTAAAGACAAGGAGCAAGCTGATGCCCCAGCCAGGTGCCATCAAAAGTGATGGGCCATCACCTACCAAGTGGCCATTCTTTTGGCAAGGAAAAGGGTAGGAACAAACAGATTTGATCTAGGCAATCAATAGTGTAAAATCTCCCCCTCATGAGACTCCATGTCTCCTTGCTTTCAGCTGCAAAGAACTTTATGTAAGGGTCATTCTCAGGGAAATGCATTTCAAAGGGTGACTGAAGTGAGGGGCAAAAGCACTCCAAGTTATCTCTCCCTGTCCTTCTCTCTCTTTTCCACCTGAGATGACAAAATAATTCAGCTCTTTAACTTTGGGAGGAATCCTAACCTGAAGATTGGTCAGTACGGCAGTTGGAAGCACATGGTACAAATTTCACCTTAAACCAAACCTACTTTGTAAAGATTTAGTACTACAAAGCATTTTATCTTTATTTTTCTTCTAACAATTTCTGACTTTAATGCTTTAATACTTGTACTCACTTAAAACCTATCTCTTTATAGTTAAATACACTTTTTTGTTCTTTAATCAAAATTAATCCGGTGTTGTCAGTTGGTCTGCCTGTCTGTCCTGAATCCATTGGGGTGAGGTGGGGCATGATTCTTCTGAGACCAGCTCAGGAGCGAGGAGGGGGTATCCCCCATTGACAGGAGAATGAGCAGAGTCAGGCCCAGAGCTAACTCTTCCGAGGTGATAACTCCCCTTTAAATCACTGCACAAACTGAGATGGTCCCCAGCACCAGGGATTGGTCAACTGCACTTGCCCATCTCCATGTGCAAAACATTCCTTGCACCCAGTGTGAGCTCATAGCTTTCCTGCCCCCTGGCACTAAGAGCTCCCTGATGGGCATGTCTCATCGTCCTCCTCAAACACAGAGACCAGGCCCCTTGAGCCTGAATCTTTTTGTACATAATAATGTCATTAGGACTGTAGTGAGGCAGAGTGGCCTCCCACTGAGCCAGAGGGGGAGAAGCCACTCTCTGATCCTTGGTGGGTGGAACCTGGCCATGCCCACTTCTCCTGCTATGCCCTGCCTCTACAGGAGACTGACCCTGGAGAAGAGTTGCTAGGACGGCCGCTCACTCTATACCCCGAGAAGACAAAGGACCCCTGGACTACCCCTCGCCCAGACCATAGTAGGAAGTAGCCCAGGGGAACCGTCCATGGTCCGGTTTTGCTGTTAGACCCCAAGTCAGTGTGTTGCAGTAGGCTCCCCGCTGACCCAGTGGTGGAACACTCTGCCACTGTTAGGGCCCTAGTCTGGGACCCTGTGGAGGAGGTTGGGCCTGGGTCCCCCTAGCCCCTGCTGCCAACTCCACTTCGTGGTGGCAGCCTCCCCACCTTAGGCCAAGAGGCTTGCATTTGTCTGCCGTCTGTCAGGCAATAGACTGTTTGTTTGCTCTACCCTGCCTAAGGACCTCAGGGGCCTAGACCATCTTGGCCCTGTCTAACCACCGAGACCACAGATTCTCGTGCTCGATTAGCTAATTCCCCAGTAGTGGGCCGTGCCCCAGTGACATAGTGAGGTGGAGTGGCCTCCCACTGAGCCAGAGAGGGAGGGACGACCACTAATCCACTACAAGGACAAGCTAAGAATACCAGGCAATGAAGCAGAGTGAGGTGCCTGGAAACAGTGTCCCCACTCCCTGCTGCTAAATGTCAGAGCTGAGATCCTAGAACATCTCAGTGTTAGTGGCATTCAAGTGTTGCTTCCGCTTCCAGGGACAAAGACTTGAGTTATTCAGAAAAAGATCCATTATAACAGGCAGCAGCTCTCTGACCCCTGTAATGTATCAGTCCTTCATCCCTGCCCTTCCCTGTGATCAGTGCAGTGAGGGGTACAGAGGAGGCATCACAGCCTTTCAGTTACTCAGGAGCAGGAAGCTCCTTGTCAGTCTCTTGGTGAGAAACTTTCCTCATTTTTTCATTTTGCAAACTGAAACCCCCCAGAGGAAATAAAATAATACACTGCATCTGTGGGGGTTGAGGGGAAGGAGCTGCAGTGAGTGACTGGCCTGGGAGAAACCAGGCAGCCCTCACTCCAGTTGTCTCCTCTGTCCTACCTACAGCCCATAATGCCCTCTCAATGGGATGTTCAGATGCTGACCCCATGCTGACCTAGTGCCTGGTTAAAATGGGGAGGTGGGGGCATTTCAAGGCAGGTTCAGGGTCTAGCTTCTGTCTAAAGGCTTTGGGGAGAAGGATCAGGCGAGAGCAAGCAGCAGTTCCCCCTTATCACATACAAGGGCCAGGTCTCTCTCCCCTGTGAGTTCTCTGAACAGATTACTTTTGGGAGCGAAGGCATACTTAAGCATGACAGAAGCCTGTTGTGGATTTTACAGGCCTGTTCTGATAATGCTTAACAGCATAAGTAGAACTGTGTATGTGTAAAAAATTGCAGAGTAATCGTGTCTGTGAGAGCCACAAAACATAAAGTAATTAAAAAGCTAGAAAAGACCAGTTTGAACTAACACTAAACCTGTACTGATGGGGTAAGGGGTGAGGAATTAACATGGAAATGAGACTAATAAATATATGTAAGAAAAGATATCAAAAAGTAATTAATAAGTTTGTGTAACATAGGGAGGTTGAAATTGTATTGTCCAGTGCTGGAGATGATGGTGATGAGATAGACCTAATGAACTTCTCACTTGGAAGTAATTGATCACAGCTTGCTGAGTGCTTTGCCTTAATAAATATTTGTTAGATCCACCTGCTCCGTAAATGAACCTCAATCCAACATTCTGGTGAGACAGCCAAACACTCTGCAGATTGGGCTAACAGCCAATATTCCAGGAACCACAACCTACGGCTATTGAGGGGTGTGACAGAATGTATCTCTATGTTTACACCCTATATGCTATTGTAATAATCTTTGTACAAAGTATGCATTGAGAGGTATCATTTGAAATCTCAGAATTTGCTGGTCATTGCCCTGATAAAATGTGTGTAGCAAAATTGTAAGTGAAGTTATAAGGTTCCACTGTATGGTGTTCTTAACATATATTGCAAACAGGCCTGTCTCAAACAAAGGAATGGGTGCCTGTCTTAATTTACATTTTAAGCAGTAAACAGAGTCCTCAAGCAGAAAGGGAAACAAAAGAAGCTCCAACAGTTAAGGAAAAAGCAGCAGGGAGCATACTTCCCTATAGACTCTCTCTCTCCTAAATCTCATCTGCAAATGTTTTCCAAGAGGGAGACTGACACTATAAAATGAAGAGACAAATACCCAGTGCCCCCTCCCCTCCTCTCTCTTTCTCTACATCAATTGATTCACTACACCAGGAGGGAAAAAGGAAGTGGCCATTGAACTGGAGAAGGGGTCCTGACCTAAGAAGTTTGGTCAGCAGACTGCTGAGAGCATATGGTTAGGCACCAGTTGCATTTTATTTTCATGTAACCATTTCTGATGTTTATGGCTCATTATATGGACTCATGTAAAATCTCTCTCTTTGTAGTTATTAAACTTCTCGTATTGTTTTATCCAATTCAGTGCTTTTAAATTGAAGTGTTTGGGAAACTCCTTTTGGGATAACAAGATGTGTGCATATTATTTCAATGGATGAAATGACAGACTTTATATAAACTTCTATTGTCCAGGAAAGGGCTGGGCAGTACAGGACATAGATTTCTGGGGGAAATCTGAGATTGGGAATAAGTTGGAATCACCCTGGAGTAGCTGGCTGGCTACAGCAAACATAGATCTAGCTGGGAGTGATTTGCATGCTGGAGGCCATTTGTGAGCAGTCTAGGCTGGAGGCTACAGCAGCAAAGCATTGTAAAGGGCACCCCAGGTTAGAGATCTGGGGTGACAAAGGTATTCATTAGTCTGGAGATAGCGCTGACTTCCCCTCTAGCCAGGGGGTGTTCGACCCTCCCCTCCACCCCTTCCCCCAAGCCCACACCCCCACTTGATCCCTTCCCCTAAGCCCCCTCCCCTGCCTCTTCCTACCCTGTCTTTTCCCCACCTCTTTCTCCCCCCAAGCGCACACATGCCCCCCACTGCTCCCACCCTGGAGCCTCGTGAATGCCGCGAAACAGCTGTTTACGGCGGGCGGGAGGCGCTGGGAGGGAGGGGGAGGAGTTGAGGAGCAGGCAAGAGGTGCTGTGGGGAAGAGGGAGTTGGCTGCCAGTGGGTGCTAAGCACCTGCTAATTTTTCTCCCTCCGTGCTCCAGCCCCAGAGCACCCACAGAGTCAGCGCTTATGAGTCTGGATTGTACTGTGGGACTGTCAAAAGGGATTTAAGGCATTTTTCAGGGACAATGGAGTTGTTGGGGAGATCTGCAGATACGGTGGGGGTCCGGTTAAGGAGGAAGACAGCCTGACAAGCCAGAATCCATTTGAACTGGGGACGAAGCTGTTGGAAAGCAACTTTTTTTTTTTTTTTTTTGGCAACAAAAGGTTGCTAAGAAAAAGGCAAAAGCCACTGTTGTTCAGAGTTTGATAGTAGCAGCCAGAGCTTTTGTGAAACAACGCAGCATTGAAACGGGAATGTAGAACGTACAAAACGCCTGAACTCAAGGATGTGCAGGAGGGTGGAATGCAAGGTCACAGAGCTAGGGGCACAGGGTGTTACAAGGTCTGAGGCTTTGATTGAGAAGCCCCAGGAATGTGAGTCTCTTGTGGAGGAGAGCGACATTCTGCAGACGCAGCTAGAAGCAGTACAATGGGAGAATACAGAAACAGACAGGGCTTTTAGTGAAACTTTTGAAAGGAAAAAGCATTAATGTGTAGAGTGTTGCAGTGTCAAAAGAAGTTCCATTCCTTTATAGTCCACTTTATCCTTCCTTGACCAATCCGGATTCGAAATCTCCTACAGCACCTGTTCCTGTGAAGCCTGTAATCATATCCACAGTCCAAAACAATCAGAGTAGTTCGTGTGCAGAAGTGAAGGTTAAAAACCTTCTCCCAGAGGAGATATCAGCCATAATGAAAGAAATAGATCCTTGTCCCAAAAAGCAGACGTATGGAGGAAGTATTAAAGAGGCTTATGACAAGTAGGGAGCAGGCTGAATTTTGTGATCTGACTAGAGGGAATTGGGAGAGAATTTTGCAGAAGGGAGTTTGCTCTGGGTTTGGCTGCATACGCCACAGGGCTATAGAGGTCAGGGACAGTGGCAGTTCCTGTGTTCAGAGATTATCCAAACTTTATTCGGGTCTGGCACCGCAATCACCATTGTCGGTGCTGTTAAGCAGAAACCTATTATCATAATATGAAGGGCAACTATTTTTGCTTAATCTCTAATAATCTTGATATAGGCTACCAAAAACTTGTAGATGGGCTACTTCCAAAGATTAAAAAGGCAGTCAAAATGATGTTTGATAGGGATTGTACTGATTTTCAGATTTTGGGTAAAAAAGCAGAATGTGGTTTTTGCCATGGCCCCTTGAGGTAAGAATAGGGACCCATTGGAGGAGGCTAAAGCATTCAGGGTTGAAAGTGGCCTGCCAGAAACCCAATTCAGAGGGTAGTCCGGAGACCTCTGAATATTGGAGAGGGTACAGCTGAGGGAAAGGCGGCCTTGAGCACCCATGGCTCACTTTCTACGAGATACAAAGGCATCATGAGGAACTGGAGGAAGATGTGCAGAGGCTTAAGGAGCTGATTTTGGGGGCAAGGAGCTGTGCTCCAACTGGAACTGCTTCCTCCATCCCCCACTTATCCAGGAGTCTTACCCACATTACCTTGGATAAGTGGGGATGCCCTGCTGTGTCATTGCTTGTAGAAGGCATTCACAAGCCAGCTTTGCTTGATAGTGGATGTCTGTCTCTTTAACATCTAGAATTCAGATGTGGGACATCACACAACAAGACAACAGTGGAAACTATGACTGGAGTGACAGGGCAAGGAGATACTCACTGGTATAAACCCTTAGATGTCCCAGTTGGGAGCTTTTCTGTTACTCATGTCTTTCTGGATGCTGCTTCTTGGGAATTTTAGGAGCAGATTGGGTTAAAGCTGGGGGTTGTTTGGTGGATATGGGTGATCTTTGGCTATGGCATACCTCACAGGTTGAGAATATGTCTATACCAATAGCTTTCAGTGTTTACAGTTAAGGGGGTTCATTCTTTATACTGGAGGGAGTATGTGACAGATGCTGAGGTTTTGGAGCTGTGCTTCCCATTTGCCCAAGATTTGCAAAGTCTAAACATGAGTATGAGACCCTGGATGTGAGTATCAGGTTCAGGGAATGGATCCTAGAGAGGCAGTGGGCTCAATGCATGTAGCTTCAAGGAACAACATTGTTTTATTTTTTATTTTTGGAGAGGGGGTGTGTGTAAAATATTTCATGGAATCAAGTTTGCTTTAGCAGCTTGATACAGCATAGCAGATAGGGAAGAGCTGCCTTTTCTAGGCATTGGGATGCACTGTGCCTTTAAGAAAGAACACAGCCCTGGGACTCCTTCAGCTTTCCCCTCCCCCACCCCATTTTTGCAGCCACAGATGGCTTGGAATAACTTTAATCCCTGTGCCCCTCCCGCTCCTTAGGTTTCCCCCTCTGTCGCTGTCCGGCAACACTTAGCCCGGTTCTCAACCCCAGCTCCTACCCCATCCCTGATTTTGCCCCTTCCTTGGCCTCTCTCCTTGTCCTTCCCCTGCCTCCAGCTGTTTGACCCTCCTGTGCAATGTGCATTCAGTTTCTGCCCTGCCCAAACTATACCCCTCCCTCCCCCATGAACCCCAGAGCAGCAGGGACTGCAGGGAGCAGGTTGTATGGGAAGAGTAGGGCAGCGGTTTCAGCAGACGTTACTGAGGCTGCTCAGTACAGCACAGCAGCAAATTCTGACAGGCAGCAGCAGTTTGTGACAACTCGCTGTTCCCGGGGCTCACAGTCCCACGAGCAGCCCCCCGCCCTGTGTCCAGGAGCTGGGCCCAGCCTCCACTCCTGAGTGGGTCTGGGGGTAGCGGTGCAAGAGCAGCCTGAGCCTGAGCCCAAGCCCATGGGCCCAGCCTGGCAGCTGAGCTCAGGAGAGAGTAGAAGGGAGCTGAGCTGCAGCAGCATCGCCCTGCCCTGGGCGGGCAGGGAGCTGGGGACATGCAGAGGCTAGAGGGGACAGGCAGGGGGTCAGGGACGGGCCTATCTGTGCTGAGTGGGAGCAAGGAGCTGGGGTTACAGATCATTTCTTGCTCTCCCATCACAGTAAGATCCGTGTTGGAGCCTTTGCTGCAGGCTGCAGGGGAGGCTGGACATACACAACAGGCCCTGCAAGTGTGGGGGTTGGAGAGCGAGGGAAGGCCCCAGCTGAGATAAGTGCTCCTCCGGGAGAGAAAATGGCTGTAAAGCGAGAGACAGCAGCAGCCCTGGGTCTCCAGTTCCAGTTACCGATAGAGCAGGGGTGCAGCCTCCAGTGAAAATGGAGAATCAGGATGCAGCAGGCCCAGAGCCAAGGGAGGGGGCAGGAAAAGCCTCTGATGCCATCCAGGCTGGGACCATTGGGGAGTTACTGAGATGGGCAGCACCACGAGAGGTCAAGCAGGAGCTGAGCCAGCCACCCTCTGTGGGGATGACACCCACATAGAGATGTGCCGTCGGCGCTTCAGGCAGTTCTGCTACCAGTAGGCTGAGGGGCCCCAGGAGGCTTACAGCCACCTCCAGCTCCAGGAGCTCTGCCATGGCTGGCGGGAGCTGCACCAAGGAGCAGATCCTGGAGCTGCTGATCCTGGAGCAGTTCCTGACCATCCTGCTGGAGGAATGCAGAGTGTGTGTCTGGGAACGTGGCCCTGAGACCTGTGCCTAGGCAGTGGCCCTGGCAGAGAGGTTCCAGCTGGGACATCCAGAGGCTGACAGGCCAGGGCTACAGGTCAGAGCATTTAACCCTAATCATCCCAGTGAGGAATGGGGTTGGGGAAGGGAGACAGACTGTGCTATGTCTGTGCCAGGATCTAGGGTATGTTCATTTCTATAGAGACAGTTTCCCCCTACACTGACTGCCCAGCCGCATGGGAGCTTCCAGGGGGGCACAAAGAGTGGCAGAGCCAGAGCTATTGGTTTCTTACTTCCAGGAAGCACCACAGCTCTATATACTGCCCCTGGGCATTGAGCATGGGTTTGTATCCCCCCAACCACCCCCATCCCTGTGTCCATGATGGATGTTCTGTGCCATTTCCCGTCTCAGGCCCAACTCGCCTCAGAGGGTGCCAGGCCCCAGCACAAGTTGACGTTTTTGACTTGTCCTCAGGTCATGGTGCATGTTAAAGTTGATGAAGTGACCTCAGAGAAGATGTTATCCTCTGGGGCATTATGGGAATCTCCTGGCTCTCAATTGGAGCAGCCACAGCCACAGTCCCATCACAAGTGTGTATTCCAGGAGAAGGTGGGATAGGATGAAGACCCAAGATCCCAATACAAGCTGCCCTGTGTCCCCAAAGAAGAGCTCTGGCCTCTCCAGGAAATGGGTAATATGATGACTACAGGATATGACAAGATGGATGTGGGGAATTCTGAAGGGGCAGCTGTGAAGGGAGTGCCCAGTACTGGGTGTGTG